TCAACCGAAGGACTTTTATGCATGCATATAAGCATAACCAATGGACATAAGACACTAGGGGGTAGGGGAGGCCAGGGGATTGTCAAGGGCGGGGAAAAAAAGGAGACATATGTAATACCCTTTGTAATACTTTAAGCAATAAAAAAAATTAAAAAAATAAAAAATAAATTTAAAAAAAAGAAACTATTTACAAGAGGCTTTGGACATGATAGTCCCATCCAAACACTGGAAAAACAAGAGGTGGTTTTACTTAAGGAATTTCCTTTCAAGCTTGAGGCTTAAACTCTTTAGTTCAAGGAGAAAAAGATCTGGCTGGAGTATGAGACAAAGCTCTAATCTTCCCCTAAAGCTTTCCTCCCTGATTCCATACAGGGGAGGGAAGTGTGTAAATTGGAGAAGGTAAGAAGAAAGAGAAAGTGGGCCAGACAAGTTTGATGACGAGTTTTCCTCCAATGTCATCAGCTCTTCTGAAAACTGAAATATAAAGGTTCTTCTGTCCTTATTTTTAAAGACATGAAGGAAACAAAGAAATATTAACATACTGCAATCACATTGAAGATGTATATGGGTATTAACCACCAATTCAATTTTATACTATGATTTCCCAAAATGGAATGGTTTTTGAAGAACTGTCTTAAGCAAAAGGTAACTGCTTTGTCAGACTATGGACAAATAAGAAAAATACAATCTTCCAAAACTCAATCAGGAAAAATCAGAAAATCTGAATAAGCCAATAATTACTGATGAAATTGGAGCAGTAATTAGATAACTTCCAGCAAACAGAAGTCCTGGTCCAGATGGCTTCATAGGGAAGTTTTATCAAACATTCAAAGAAAAACTAACACCTAATCTCCTCAACTATTCCAAATATCCAAGGGAAAGGAACACTTTCTATGAGGACAGCATTACCCTAATCCCAAATCCAGATAAAAACACTACAAAGAAAGAGAATTATCCCTGATGAATACAGACCCTAAAATCTTCAACATAATTTTAGCAAATGAGATCCAGCAATACATTAAAAAGACCATACATCATGACCAAATGGCATTTATTCTAGGAATGCAAGGCTGGTACAATATCCGCAAATCAATAAATGTGATATATCACATTAACAGACTGTAACACACAAAAATCACATGATCATTTCAATCAATGCAGAAAAAGCATGACAAAATCCAACACCCTTTTTTGATAAAAACTTTAAGTAAAGTAGAAATAGATCATACCTCAACATAATAAAAAGCCATATATGACAAACCTACAGCCAATATCATACTCAATGGCTAAAAACTAAAACCATTTTCCCTAAGAACAGGAAGACAGGGATGCAACATAGCAGGATATAAAATTAATACCCAGTAAACTATGGCATTTTTATATACCAATATTGAACGCTCAGAAAGAGAAATAAAAAAACAACCCCATTTAGCATTGCAACAACAAAAAAATTGAGACTTATGAATAAACCTAACCAAAGAGGTAAAATACCTATACTCAGAAAACTATAGCACGTTGAAAAAAGAGGTAGAAGAAGATATAAACTAGAGGAAGAATATACCATGTTCACAGATTGGCAGAAATAAATATCATTAAAATGTCCATACTACCCAAAGCAATCTTTAGATTCAATGCATACCTATTAAAATACCAATGGCATATTTCACAGACTTAGAAAAATACTCTAAAAATTATACCAAAAAAGACCCAAAAGCTGCAGCAAGCTTGAGAATGAGAAAAGTTGGAGGAATAACAATACTAGATATCAAGTTATACTACAAAGCCACTGTAATCAAAACAGCCCGGTACTGGTACAAGTATCACATACAGATCAATGGAACAGAACTAAGAACCCAGAAATTGACCCACACCACTATACTAAACAAGTATTTGACAAAGGAGGCAAGAGCATACAATGGAGCAGAGGAAGTCTCTTCAAGAAATGGTGTTGGGATAATTAGACAGATACATGCAAAAACATGAAACAAGACCAACTTACACCATACACAAAATAAACTCAAAATGGATAAAAGGCTTAAATTTAAGTTGTGAAACCATAAAAATCCTAGAAGAAATCATAGGCACCAAAATCTCAGCCATCTTACATAGCAACATGTTTATGGATACAATGCCTAGGCAAAGGAAACTAAGAAGGAAATAGACAAATGGGGCTACATCAAAATAAAAAGCAGCTGCACAGCAAAAGAAACCATCAAGAAAATAACAAGAGCCCTGACTGGTTTGGCTCAGTGGATAGAGCGTCGGCCGGTGGACTGAAGGGTCCTAGGTTCGATTCTGGTCAAGGGCATGTACCTTGGTTGCAGGCACATCCCCAGTGGGGGGTGTGCAGGAGGCAGCTGATCAGTGTTTCTCTCTCATCGATGTTTCTAACTCTCTATCCCTCTCCCTTCCTCTCTGTAAAAAATCAATAAAACTTTTTTTTTTTAAAAAGAAAATAACAAGAGAGTCTACTGCATGAGAGAACATGTTTGCCAATGAAACATCCAATAAGGAGTTAGTTTCCAAAATATATAGAGAACTCATACAATTTAACAAAAACAAGGTAAACAGTCCAATTAAAAAATGGGCAAAGGACATAAATAGACACTTCTCCAATGAGGACATACAGAAAGCCAAGAGACATATGAAAAAATTCTCAAAGTCACTAATCATCTAGGAAATGCAAATCAAAAGGACAATGAGGTACCATCTCACACCTGTCACAGTGGCTATCATCAACAAATCAAATGACAACTGTTGGCGAGGATGTGGAGAAAAGTACACTGCTGGTGGGAACGCAGACTGGTGTAGCTACTGTGGAAAACAGTATAGTTTCCTCAAAATATTCAAAATGGAACTCCCATTTGACCCAGTGATCCCACTTCTAGAAATATATTCTAAGAAACCCAATGCACTCATTAGAAAGAATAAATGCACCCCTATGTTCATAGCAGCACAATTTACAGTAGCTGAGATTTGGAATGAGCCTTAAGTGCTCATCAGCAGATGAGTAGATAAAAAAACTATAGTACACTTATACAATGGAATACTGTGTGGCAGTAAAAAAGAAAGAACTCTTACCATTTGCAACAGCATGGATGGACCTGGAGAACATTATGCTAAGTGAAGTAAGCCAGTCAGAGAAAGATAAGTATCACATGATCTCACTCATGTGTAGAATCTAATGAACAAAATAAACTGATGAACAAAAACAGACCCAGAGACATAAAAGCATGGAACAGACTGTGAAACCTCAGAGGGAAGTGAGGGGAGGGTAGGTGGGTAGGAAGAGCTCAATCATTGAACTTGTATGCATATATGCATAATGCATGAACACAAATAATGGGATAGTGAGGGCCTGGCCAGGAGCAGGCTGGAAGAGGTCAATGGGGGAAAGAAGGGGACTTCTGTAATAGTTTCAACAATAAAGATTTTTTTTAAAAGCCATTGTCTGGGAAGATTAATAAGAAGCAATTCCTTTAATTTTCTCCTCTTTACATGTTCAAATTGGGAGTTATTTCAGAAATGTATTAACAATGGCAATACCCCAACTCTAAGACTTTGAATAATTTATGCTTATAAAGGTCCTCCCTCAATAAATGAAATAACTTACTAGGAACAGACTGGCATTTAGTACCTATCATACTATCTGTAGTTACAACCAAGGAAAACTTACTTGGGTACTGAGAGGAGATAGGTCTGGCAGGAGGAGCACCCAAGGCAGTTTCCAAGGGAGGCATGTCACCAGCAGGATGGAGGCCATTCACTTCAAACTGTGTCGGCAAGTCTGCTGCATCTATAATAGGTACAAATGAGTGTCCCAGGAGTCCTTAACAACAGCAAAAGAAGGCAGGGCAGTATGGGGGTAACTTTGGCTGCGCTCAAGTCTCAGCCAAAGCAACCAAGCCAGATCTTTTCCTACAGAATTAATCCTAAGACTTTCAGCATACCACTTGCCAATGTATTTGCTTCTCAAAGTGTTATTACACTTAAAAGAGTTAGATTTGTTTCCAAAACTAGATTTATAACCCAATAGGAAAGTGACAGAATTCACCTGACTTGCTGATAATTATATGAGCTCCATTTAGATAGTAAAGCTTTAACAAAATTGTTAAAAAGTTAGTTGCAAAGAATTTACAAATTTTACTAAGCTCTTTCATTTAACTGTTCAAAGTATAGTACTTTCAGATTTGACAATGAAGCTCACAATGCAAAACTACAGATTATATACAAATATAAAGATTTCCTAGGCTAGAGAGAACCTTAGAGCTGACTGACTTCTATATCCTAATTTTATACTTAAGCAGTAGGCTCCCAGAGAACAATCTAAGGCAGAGCCAGAGCCAGGACTCCAGTTTTCAGACAAGGAAGCTAATATATTTTCACCTCCACTCATTCACTAAGAATGAGGTTTCTACATCTGATGCAGTCATCAGAATCTGTATAACTTAAATAACTTAGCATCTTCATATTCCATAAAAAGAAAAAAAAATTAAAAATCAGGTATTTTAAATCTGAGACAATCCCAAACTTGGTAAATTAAGTTAAGGGTTCACTTGTGAGCTTAGCTCCAACTTTGAAATTATTGGTTATCTTGAAAATTAAAAAAAGTAACACTCAAATATACCCATCAAAATCTGATATAAAAAAGGTAATATATCTGTATTCATATTTTTATCACAAAATACAAATGTTGTAATTTGTAAGGCCTTTGATTTAACAATGGATATTTTTCACCAAAACTTAGCTTTCTACATTTTCAACTGTTAAAAACTGGTACTTATATTTAAACTTACATTCAAAAGATGATCCAAATTCCTCATTATCCTTAAAAGATAGTTCATCCACATTTGAAAATTCATTTCTGTCTTGAACTTCAGTTTGTCTTTGATAAAGACTGGGTTGAAAGAATAAAATTCATGAGTGTGAAGTTGTAATAAGGTAAAACCAAGAGCACAGGGCTATGAAAAGCCTTTGTGACTCTGGAAAAGGCTCTAGAGCAGTGGTTCTCAACCTTCCTAGTGCCGCGACCCTTTAATACAGTTCCTCATGTTGTGGTGACCCCCAACCATAAAATTATTTTCGTTGCTACTTCATAACTGTAATTTTGCTACTGTTATGAATCATAATGTAAATATCTGATATGCAGGATGTATTTTCATTGTTACAAATTGAACATAATTAAAGCATAGTGATTAATCACAAAAACAATATGTAATTATATATGTGTTTTCCGATGGTCTCAGGGGACCCCGGTGAAAAGGTCATTCGACCCCCAAGGGGTCACGACTCACAGGTTGAGAACTGCTGCTCTAGAGAATGAACTGTGCTCTGTGAAAATGAAAGCTGCCCTGCACTGGGCACGCTCCATGCACCCAGCATCATTCCAAGTAATCAAGACATTAGCTTGGGCACTCTGCAGAACCACCTTACGCTGTGAGGCAGGTATTATATTGTTGAAAAGAAATAATGTTGCACTCTCAATGCTTTTATATTTTCAAGAACCACAAAACATTTTTGAAAAGAACAAATTCTGCACAGCATCAGTATGAGTCAGCTGAAGATGCAAAACTACAAGCTCCATGTGCATCCAAGTGCCCTAACTCCCATATGGGTGTCCTGTTTCTCCTCTTGGCTTTATCATGAGAGAGCAATATAATTACATGTACATTACATGCATTAGGACCATGATGGGCACATGTGGCAGTTTTCAACTCTGTACACTGGGAGTGAATCAAAATATGCAGACAGATGTCCAGCCTGGAGCCCAGAACTAAGGAGTCAGAGTGCCTTCCATATGGATCAGGCACAGACAGGAGTCCCATATGCGCCTCAATCCCAGCCTGGGTGACCCACCACCCAACTTCTACATACATTTACTCCATTCTACTTCAGCAATCAGACCCTACAACCCACTACCAATTCAGTATTTATCTCAATAGACAAATTAGACTTTTGTTTGGACTAAATGCCCAAATATTTTTTAACTGACTTATTTTTTGAAGGACTTTAAAATTAAAATGTGTGAAACTACTTCAAGTTTAAAAATAAACTGAATTTGCTTTTGATTTTGTATGTTGCTTTTTTATTTCTATAAACCAAGGCTATTCATAGAACTATGAAAATGCTTACTGCTACCATAGTGCACTGTGTACACATCAGGTTTAGCAAACAAGGAAAAATTACTTATTTGCTAAAAGGAATTTTCCCCAAATAATTTAGATGATTCTTGAAGATTACACATCATCTTACAATCTGATTGCAAATTCTACACTCTACGTGGTCTTGAGCATCACTTTAAAACAACGCACAAGTCAGGGCCATTCAGCTAACCAGACTTGGCTGGGCCAATCAGAATGCGGAACTTACTTGGCTTTCTGTTCCAGAAGGCTTGAGAGTGAATGGATGGAAAGGCTGTGCCTAGATTCAGTTGCTGAAGGCTGGAGCATTCTTTCAGGACAAGGACTGGGAAAAGCAAAGGACTGGGATTGGTCCAGACCTAAAGGGCAAAAGATATCAGGGCAAGAATATTACAAACTACACAGTGAAAACAGCAACATGGTTCCTAAGGAGTTTAATTTGAAAAGAAATTCTATTATCCTTGCAAATAGTTGAGTATGATGTATAACTGACCCACATTATTAATGATTCAGCATTAATAATAAAACTAATCAGCAGTAAGGGAAAAGCCATTGATTACCATTCTCTGAACACGTCTGCATGCCAAGCAAAATGCTGAACTTGCTCTAACCCATTGCCTCCCACAATGTTATGTCACAGGGGAGAAGTCTCTGGAAAGCAGGCAACCATAGGTGCAGTGAGGACGAAGCTACTCAGGCTAAAGATTTCCCAGGCCCAGCAAGCATAGGCTTCTCCTCCTTCTTGCTGTCTACAGCTCACTCACTCTTACTCAGATAAAAGGACCATGAAAGTCCTGAAACCCTGTCTGCAGAAGCTTACCTAAATGAGGGGAGGCAGACTCTTAGATGCTAGTGGGCTTGTAGCAACAGAGTACTGAAGAAAGCTTTTTCTAAGCAATCAATCTCTTGCTCTAGCTCTTTCATTCTTGCCTTGGTGTGGTTACAAACTAAAGATCAGAAATGGGGGAGCAAACCACTATGCTTGTATTTGGATGATTTATGATGTAACTGTTGGTGTAACTGTCTCTCCCATCAGCTTTTCCTGTTTGAGATGATTTTTTCAAGAAATCCCTGCTTGTTTCACCAGTAGGAGACACCATAAATCTGCTGGCAGAATGATGAAACAGAGATGGCTTTGGCTTGCAGTACACTTCATTTTCTAGGGCTGGGGGCTACATGAAAATAATGTGACCAATGAGCAGGAAAAAAAATTCAAATATGCTTGATAATTTTTTTTAAATGAAGAGAGGTAGTAATAAGAACAAATATGCACACTAAACAATTTCTGAAGCCAATTCTTATTAGCATTTTTTGAGAGCTCTTATGTACCAGTTATAACTTCATAGACCTTGTTTTTAGGCCTTTTTTTTGTAGTCCTCATTTAAAGATGTATTTTCCATTGAAGAGTGAAAGGGAAGAGTAGAGGAATAGGGAGAGAGAAGAGAAACATTGATGTGAGAGACACCTCAACTGGTGCCTCCCACATGCACCCCCAACCAAGGATGGTGAGCAAACCCCCAACTGAGGTATATGTGGTTGACAGGAATGGAATCCACCATCTTTTGGTCTGCAAGCCATTGCTCTAACCACTGAACAAAATTAGCCAGAGCTAGGCCTTCCTTCTTAATGCATATTATTTCACAACCCATGATCCACAATCATATTCATAAATTTGGTAACAAAGCCTAAGCAGACCTGAATTCACTGTTAATAAACTTTACCTGAACTGATGCAAATGCATTCATTACCTTTATTTATTCTACCCAGCATGGATAGTCACATATTTGACTGCAAACATGGTTCACTAAAGGATGCTGCCCCAGAACTCCCAGGGCTGTGGCAAAACCACTATAGGGCCCAATCTATCTATACTAATATAAGCCTATGTGGTTGTTAAGCCCTCACGCCGTGATGCCCTCACGCCGTCACATCCATCATCAGGAGGCTGCGTGTGCAGGTGGGCGGAGACTTGATGCTGTGTGCACGGAGGTGGGGCCTGGCAGCTCCACATGGCGAGGCTGGGGTGCCGCAGTCTTTTTGCATCAAGGGTTCAGGAATTTGGAGAAGGGGCTGACACATAAATGGATACACTGGACAAGAAATATAAATTTGGAAGGCATGGGGGAAAGCCAGGCGGAAACCAGCTCTCTAGTGGAATGGCTTGCCGAATTTCTGGACCCATGGCTTTTTATTTACACATTTTTCCCTTTAGCAAAGTAAACACACATATCAAAGTTAAGGTTTGGTAAACATTAAAAAATTATCAGGTTAGGGGAACTGCTTTCAGCCTTTCATATAGCAGCAGGTAATAATTTGCAGATTTTAAGCCCTGCTGAATATCAAAGCCCATCAGCCTTCTGGTGAACTTCTCGCATTTATTATGACCTGCTGTCTTAGCTTCTAGCACTGGGGGTCCCGAGGCTCCACATGCCATGCAGGCAGGGACCCTACTCCGGCCTACCTCTTTGGGGCAATTCATCCAGGAGCCCTAATGGGTGGGCGGGGCCTACATCTTTGGGGCAATCGATCGCGGGGCTCCAGAACTGAGAGGGCACAGGCCAGGCTGGGGGACCCCTTCCCCCTGACTGCAGGAATTTTGTGCACCAGGCCTCTAGTCTATAATAAAAATGTAATGTGCTAATTAGACCTGACAGCCGAATGACCTTCCAGACATCCTTCTGGACAACCTTCCAGACAAAGCCACAGCTGCGAGGTCCGAGGTAAGCCACCGAAGCTGCGAGTGCACAAATTTCATGCATCAGGCCTCTAGTTTTCAGATAAGGGTATGAGGACCTGCAGCCACAACAAGACTAACAACTCTGCTCCTCCCACATTACACCTGGGGAGCTAAGGTTGGGTCATACAGGTAGGGAGGTGTACAGATGCTGGGACTCCCTAAGCAAAACCTGAACATGCATAGCCAGTCTTGTGGCCGCTACTCTCCAGCAATGCCTCCAGGGCAATGCATGTGTTTGAAAAGGTTCCATCCTCAAACTTTTCATCTTTCGAGATCACTGTGATTTCAGCTGTGGGCAGTTTGGCAAATAGGCTTGAGAGAAAATGAGGAACAGGGAAGGATTCAAGAGATAAAAATGAAACTAGTGTGGAAGATGGGAATAGGAACTGAGGAGGAAAGAGTACAAACAGGAACTGAGGAAGGCTCCAGACCAGGAAATGTGGAAACCAGTTCAACTGCTAACACACAGAAACTTTCTTTTTGAGCTTTGTATCTCAGCTTCAGTACACTTGTTATGAAGAGACAGATAGTATGCATCCTCAGGGAAAACGTGCAGTAACATAACAGTAATCCTTCTGAGTATCTGATGTGTTGCAGGCACTCAACTGAGATCCATCTCATTTTGCCTTCTTCACCATGGCAAAGTAGATATTCATATCCCCATTGCAAATGAGGAAACTGAGGTTCAACTGTAGCTGGAGAAATCACTGGGCCCAATTTTTCCGACATTAGTGGTAGTGGGTGGCTCTTGCAATATCTTCAGAAAAAGAATTTTCTAAGACTCCCATGGGAGAATGAATGTATTTTATTGGTGTGTAATTATATTTTTTGGTTTGCAGAGTTCAATGTCCCTTAACATAGTCCTGAAAAGAGTGCAGATGGCGGTCCAGTAGAATCAGAGTAGGGCCAGTATCCAGAGTGTCCATTCCATGGTGGAGCAGGGCACGATTTAGCATCAGGCTACATTTAGTTCATCAGTACATTGTGTGAAGTCCACATGGCTGTGGGCCACAGGGTGAGTGGAGGGAGTTAAGGACACCATAAGCTGGGAATCTGAGGTGAGCAGCGAGAGAGAGGGGCTTCTTTGTTCAGGAGCTTAAAAATTAAATATTCCTGTACTTGCAGTGGCATGCCTATTTCTGGCTACTGACTTGTTTCCAGGTGTGACTGACTGACAGATAAGCATCATCACACGTCATGCAGACCTTACTGGGCATGGGTCTATTGTCTAGTGCCTTCCCACAGTGATGTTTAGGTAATAAACTTGGAGACTATTAACTGCAATTCCCTGGCAAAGCTGTATAAATGGCATGTCTCTATTATCTAATCTTCCCTTTACTCCTTTCCTGTTAATAACCAGGTTATTATAATGGTTATCACAAAGAAGTTAAATGTGTCCAACCAAGGTTAATCAAGTAACTTCAAAATTGAGGTGCAAAAACATAAACATTGTATATAATCAATGTGATATATACTAACCTCTATCTAAAGCAACTGAATGACAGGTCCACCAGTCACTATGACATGTACTGACACCAGGGGGCAGACACTCAACACAGGAGCTGGCCCCTGGTGGTGAGTGCGCTCCCACAGGGGGAGTGCCGCTCAGCTGACTGACCTGTTCCGGAGGCCCACCAGCCAGCAGCAGTAGCCACTCATTCCCTCAGTAGTCCTGCAGGTCCAATCTCTGGAGAACAGGCCAGGCACCAATGGACCAGTATCACTGGCACATGGCCACTAGCCTCCTGAAAGTTGGCCTCAGGCATTGCAGCTGCTTCCCCTCCCTAGACACTTCGCAAGGAAGAAATCTTTACAATCCATGTGAACGTCAGGGACAGATCTGGATCCTGGGCAGGCAAGGGCGTCCCACCGCCTGCCCAAAGGGCAGATTGCGTTCTCCCCGCACTGCCCCTCCATCCCATACCCTTTGGGACAGGCGCCAGATGCAGGCAAGTGCCACTGCAGCAGACAAGCTTCTCCCGATCAGGACTGACTGGGCATCTGCCTGCGGCAGGTGCAGCAGGACCAGGATGAGCGAGAGTGGTAGGCAGTAGCAGCAGGTGGCGCTGGACTGCCAGTTTCAGCACAATCCCCACAGGCCACACTGAGGGACCCCACCCATGCATGAATTCATGCACCAGGCCTCTAGTGTGACATAAGTCACCCTGCTTCTCACATATTTTACTCATCTCTCAAGGAACATGTAAAAACCCTGAAGGGTCAGACTGATCTTATTATCAAGGTAACAAATATAAAAGAAAAACCAAGGTCTATGAATTTGGGAACCTCTGTGCCATTATACCTTTCTTATTTGGGGTACGAGGCTCTTCCAAGCCACAGGAACCTATAAAAGCAAGTCACGTTAGCTGATGACTGACTGGTTGGTATTCCTGAAATGGACAGAGTTTTTACTTCTAAGATGACATATTTCTATGGCTTTTCCCCTACTATGAGAATTACTGAAACTTCAGTAATAATCATTACATTTCCATATATACTGGAAATTTTACACATACACATTTATAAGTTAAAAATCTCTCTAACCTGTCTGAGTTTGCTTCAGTTGCAATTTTAAATCAGCCACCTGCATAGTTAACCTCTTTACAGAAGCATCATAATTTAATATCTGGGCCTTCAGCTTTGCAGAATGCTCAATCTGAAAAGATTTAGAGAAGGGAAAGAAATCAATGTAAAAGAAATCCCAGTTCACTTCAAAAGGAACAAGTCTTTTATAGGGCTTATTCTCTTTTCCATTTTTCCCATTCTTAGCAGCTTCATGCCTGTAGTCCACAGGTCCCTAGAAAACAATAGAGCACACAAACAAGTTTGCCACCTCCATTTGCACTCATCTCTAAGAACAGCTCTGTAAGGTATGAGGCAGACACCAGAGTGTCAACAGTTCTAAGTCACAGGGCAAGAATCAAGAGACATTACTAGAGGGCACAATGGAGACTGGGACAATTTTTGTTTATGAGTTTGCTTTCCTTGGGATTTTATTACTGTTATGAATATAGTTATATCATCACCCAAGCATTTCTCAGATGAGAAGGTTACCTTAGAATAGTGGGGGAATAATTTTTGATGTTAAAACCAATCTGATTTACACTGGTGTGACATACACCAAGCTTACATGTGTACACAGTGGATCAGACTAACACCTGACCAAATAAAGATCAGTACTCACTTCACTTTGCAGCTGTCTGTGCAGAGCCTCCTTGTGAGTTTCAAACTTCTTATGCCCTAACACGATAGCAGCTCCTGCTTTCTTCAACTGTTTCTGCAAATTTACCAGTTCAGGAGATGGCTGAGCTATAACTAAAAAGGTAAAAAAGCCTGGTGATTATCAACAGTAAGTTTTCCCATTTCACTTAGCAAAAGCAGCTAAAGATATTTTAAATTGTTCTTTCTTTTCTTCGTACACATGTAGTTAATACCATATTAATTCTAAGGAATGGACTAAGAGCACAAATTTCAGAAGAATTTAATGCATGCAGAGGCAAACTTCACTACTCTTTCTAATGCAAATAAAAGAAATTCTTTCAAATCCTTTAATTAACCTGAAAGCCCACCTCTTTCCTCTATCACACACAGGAGGCATAAAAGGAGCCCTCCATCAAAATCTGTTAAGTACCCCTAGATCTAATCTGATCTGTGCACCAGTCAGCAACACTCATGGTTCAAGCAGACATCAGACGGAGTTCCACCATTTCAGTCACTGAAGAACCCCTAAAGGGTGATTCATGTAGGTTAGCCACTAAGGGTGGTATAATTCTCTGGGCTAGTAATGGGGCCATGCTGTTAACTCTGTGGGCCCAAAGTAGGAGTGGGGAATCTTTCTTCTGCCAAGGGCCATTTGGATATTTATAACATCATTTGCAGGTCATACAAAATTATCAACTTAATTAGCCTGCTATATTTGGTCAAACATTTAATTAACTCACCCCTAATGCCTTGGCAGGGCCAGATCAAAAGATTTTATGGGTCTTCTATAGCCTGTGGGCAGGACAGTCCCCACACTTGGCCTAAACCATCAGGGAGGGAAGAATTCCCAAAATTGGGAGAGAAAGATCTGGCACAGGCACAGAGCAATGGTGAGAGATCATCCTGTAAGCATTGGATCTTGCCTTGCTGAGAGGCACAGGGCCAGCCCACAGCCAATATATACAGTGGGGGTGAAGATGCAATGGTGGAAAGGGAATAATAACCTCAACCACACTCTCATTCCTCCTTGTCAATGGCCAAATCTGAGCAGCAGAAAGTGAGGGGAGATCTGTACAATCCTGAGAGGCAGATTTGTAGTTTAAAAATACTTCTTAGTGACACTAATAATATACTATAGTAATAGCAAGCAAAAAAGGAAGTAACTTCAAATTGACAATCTTAATTTTATAAAAATTTTCCTGATTGAAGCCTTTCTTACAGATACAAAGCATAGTTTCATAATACTAAGCTAATATGAATTACAAAGACATGCAAATCAGGAAAAAGACATACGGTTTAAAAGATGCAAGTTTTCATTTCTGCTCTCTTCCAGTTGTTGTTTAAGTAATTTATTTTGAGCCTGAAGCTCTAATTTCTCTTCTTTTAGAAGCGAATAGCCACTCATCTCTTTCATCTCTTCATTCAGCAGGTGGTTTTGCTTGGTTATTGCCAAGAACTGGGCCTTGAGAGATTCGAGCTCAAGCTGGAATTGAAAAAAACTTGCATTTGAACAGTTACTGCAGTACTTCTTATGCAAAAACTGGCAGGCTGCTATAAACTGGGTGTCATAGTAAGTAAGGTCACTGGACAGAGGACTCATTCTCTGCAGTAAGAAGAGCCTGATTCCAACATGGAAGCTCATCTTTTGCCCTAGAGGGGGCGGGGAAGTTCATCCAACCTTATACTTATGCAGAACCCTGGCCTACAAAGCAAGTGCTTCAGATTAAGTTTGTTGCCCATTTTCCAGATGCAACTAAGGTCCCAATAGCAATCACAGACATGATGTGGTGCTTTCCTTTTTTTATACATCTCATGTTTACATACAAAAGTCTACAATGTTCTCAAATAAATAGATCATTACAGCTGCAAAAATACATTTTATGTGCAGGATATATCCAGGTACGTCAAGTTCCAGCTCTGTCCTTCAGACAGCACACGTGATGAACAGCAAGAAAATAAATGGCATGTGAAAAACACATCTCATTCTGTTTTAACCTGTAAGATCCCAATGTAATGACAGGAATGTTCACCTTCTGCTGATGGGAAGGAAGAAGAGGCTAAGGCAGAAACTAAAAGCACTGGCCACCTGCTATGGGCTAGGCACATAGGTCAGCTCACCACGGAACCTCAACCACCCCAATGTTTAAGGAACTTGTTCGAGGCACACAAGCAGGAAGGACTAAAAGGAAGAACTACTAAATTAACTTAAGTTGGGCCTTCTTAGTCATAAAATAAACAGTCTAAACACATCAAGCTAAATAATGTATGACTGAAACTAAAATTCCATCTACTGCCTTGAAGTTTTATCGACTTCAAAAAACAATAGGCTTAGCAATTACCTCAAGTTCTTTCAAACGAGTTGCAGAATAATTGCATTCTTCTTCCTGTTTTGAATTGGTAGCCGTGGGCTGCTCTTGCAAAAGAATAGCTTTTTCTGAAAGAGAAAGCCAACCAATTAAACATGTTTTTCTAGTGAATAAAAACATTTAAGAATTTATGTACAATGTCAGACCTAATGACCATTATTTCATCATCTAAAATAGCAGGTGTCAGAGTCAAAAATCAGTAGGGAAAGTAAGAAATAAGTCCTATTACCCAACAGGTGATGGGAAGTCTTAATGGTCACATATATGGTGAACTTTCTTCCACTACACATACCAGCCAGTTGCACCAGCTGCTAAGAGCCCTCATACCCAAAGATCTGAATTTCCTTAAATACAAAGATTTGTCTTATGATTTTAGTTGCTATTTCATCATTTTCACTTCATTCAATATGAGTCATGCAGATATATCATAAAAAAATTTATCTGACTACATGATGGTACTAATTCCTAAAGAAGTATTAGTCTAGTTTCCACAAGATAGTCACAGAGGAGCAGCCACACACTGGGTGACTTTATGGGTCTTTACCAAGTACCCAGCTCTGGTTCCTTTGAAATTTCTACTTAAGTTCACTTCTTTTCATAGACAAGTTTCTATAAATATACTGAAATATAAAATATCAAGAGATTGAAAAATTATTCAACTTTCCTACTCCTGGGTTAGTTATAAAACAGTTTAGGAAGTTATATGTCAGGTAAAAATATCATGAGGCATAAACATATATTACAAGTAAAAGAAATAAGGAACCAGGTCACAGGTAATGGAGAAGTTAAAATTTTCCATAAGTAAAAAATGAAGTCTCTCATGCTTATAACCACAATGAGATATCACCTCCCACCTGTTAGAACAGCTATCATCAATAAATTGATAAATAACAAGTGTTGGCCAAGATGTGGAAAAAAGAGAATCCTCATACACTGTTGGTGGGAATGCAGATTGGTGCAGCCACTATGGAAAAACAGTGTGGAGTCACCCTCCCCACCCAAAAAAATAATAATAATAAGAGCAGCCATATGTTCTAATAATTCTACTTCTCAGTATATGTAAAAGACAATAACATGCCAATTTGAAAAGACATACATGTGCACCCATATGTTCACTGCAGCATTACTAGTAACAGACAAGATTTGGAAGCAACCTAGACTACCATCAATAAATGAATGTGTGGATATAGAAGATGTTGTATATTACTCAGCTATAGAAATGAATAAAATCTTGCCATCTGTGACAACATGGATGAACCTAAAGGATATTATGATGAAATAAGTTACAGAGAAAAACAAATACCCTATGATTTAACTTACATGTGAAATCTTAAGAAATAAAAATGAACAAAACAAAACAAAAAAAGACAGGCCCATAAATACAGATAACAAGCAAGTGGTGGCCAAAGGGGAGGAAGGAAAGTAGATGGGGGAAGAAAAACCTCCTGAATACCCTACCTCTTCTCAGGTTAAGGTCATTTTTGATATGTAAAATTAAAAAAACAAAATAATGATTAATTTTGTAGTAAAAGTAAAATGTAAGCTACACACACACACATTTAAATTTAGGACAGGCCCAATCTAGGAAGCTAATAACCTATATCAGAAATTTACAAATGCAGCTTTCTTCTCCGCAAGAATCACCTTTATTCTTCCTGTCCTCTTCATCCAGTCTGTTAGATCTATCGATGTAGTCATCCTTTAGCTCAAGTTGATACCTGAGAATTAGAATGACTAAAATGAGTTTCTTGTCACTTTCCTGGACAGATTCCTATTAATGTATGGGTTTCTGGGGCACCCGGGCACCTAAGGGCATGAACATGGCCATGCATAACTTCAAAGACTATCAGTACTAAAGCCAGATATCCAAATTCTGAAAATAAAACCTGCTACATCCTTTAATTTGGTCCCCCAAACTCAAGTTATTGTGAGGTTATTGAGAACAATTATTCCATGGTGGTCTGGATTGGCACACAAAAGTAAATTAAGTTCAATTTACACTGGTACAACTGACTCTAAATCCCAAGAATAAGAAGTCAGTCACATCCACCTGCCTTGCCTTGCACCCCACCCCAACCCCGAAGAACTTTTGCCCTCAAGGCTGGGCATAGTGTTCGGAGCCAACTTCGACCACCCTCATATCTGGGTTAGCAATACCAAAAGCACACTTTCAAGTTTTACTTATCTCCACCAACTGCCACTAGCAGACGTTTCAGTTAAGAGATAGATGGTGAGTATCCTGTGAATTCCAACCCTTGCTCAAGTCATAGAGGATACCCAAACCAGACAACATCAAACAGTACATGATCTGCAAAGCAGTGGAAAGTTAACATACATATTTACTCATTCATTTATTCCTAAAGGTTTAACAACTACAGACATGTCAGCATTTGCTACTATACTCGAGAAGCTGACATACTATATGTATGTCATCATTTCAAAATCTATACATGGAAAGGTACTATATTTTAATTAGAATTCTTTTAAAGAATAAGCTCAAGAAACCTTTGCAAATACTATGTAATGTAATCTCATGACAAATTACAGGCAAGGCAGTAAAAAGAGGCCACTTATTAAGACATACCAAAAGTTAGTTGAGTCATCTCTTCACCACGAATTCATTTACTCAATGAATATTATATGAACACTTGTGTGCTAGACACTACACTGAGCACTGTAGAGAAAAGTTACCATATGGGCTTGATGTCTGCACTGAGTAGTTAATCACTGCAACACATTAAAACTCAGATTATAGGGAAGTCATAGTAACCATAGTTATCATATTTTCCTTTCCCTGTATAATTTTTTTGGCTCCGTTGTTAATTTCCATTTATTTCTTTTGATTCTGGCTTTGCAGAATCTTGAAGGAATACAGGGCACATGTTACCTGATAAGCACTAAAACCACTAGGCAGAATAATTTATAAATTGCTAGATACCTCCATCTTAGTGGCAAGTATGAGGTGGGGAGAGGAAAAGAGAACTAAAAGGGATTATAATTCCATCCCTGGTCAGCCTGATTCAGATGGTTGAAGAACTGTCCAGTGCATTGGAAGGTCATGGGATCAATTCCTGATCAGGGCACATACAGGAGGCAACAGATCAATATTTCTCTGTCATGCTGATTTTTATCTCTCTCCTTTCCTCCCTAAAATTAATTTTTTTTTTAAAAGTGAATTTTTAAAAAGTTGATCAAGTGAGACCTTAGATCAGTGGTTCTCAACCTGTGGGTCGCGACCCCTTTGGCGGTTGAATGACCCTTTCACAGGGGTCACCTAAGACCATCCTGCATAACAGATATTTACATGACGATTCATAACAGTGGCAACATTACAGTTATGAAGTAGCAACGAAAATAATTTTATGGTTGGGTCACAACATGAGGAACTGTATTTAAAGGGTCAGAAGGTTGAGAACCACTGCCTTAGATCAACCACTTTTATAGCTTATCTACAATGTGAGCTGAGCAATTCACAATGTGCCATAAAATGAAAGCAAATCACAGACCCTCAATACATGTTAGAAAAGCTGTAACTCTGTAAAACTATCTTAAATATTCATGGGAAAGGCTTGACTATCAATAAAAACATGTATTTTTTTTAAACACTATCACCATAAAATGTTAAGTCTTATCTACTTCACTAGTATTGCTGTGTTTCCATCAACTTAATCCAAACCTATTACTTGTTTAAGAACACCAAACAATTTCTTTAGAATTTCATTCTTGAGCTTTTGGTCACAGGTCTCCTCCATGCTCTTTATATTCAGAATCCTGTCTCCTAAGTGCATCAGCCACACTTTTATGATTTTCTTCTGTAGCCTCTGATATTAGCAAAAATATAAAAAGCAAATAAAAAACTGTAATAGCTGAAGTAAAAGACTTTAGGAGAAAAAAATTACATAATTTTAGCTCCACAAGCTAAAACTGTTATGTGATTGTCACTGCTGGGAAGTAACTGGAAAGAGCTGGAGTCCTCCATCTATTTTATGAACTGACCAAGTTATGTGGGATCTGAAGTAGCAGATGGAGCAGCACGGTGCACCAGGCTGCAGGGAGTGTGCAAGTTTCAAGACCAAAGTGCTTTTTCATAGAAGATGATCAACACTTAAAAAATGGTTGCAGGTAATAAATGGCCATAATAAATTCAGAGAAAAGCTACAAACCAAACTTAAGTTAGTGTACTTTTGCTTTAGTACTTATTTCTTCAGTAAGATTATTTCTGTGAGATTTAACTGATCAGTCCACAGGTATGAAAGACAAAAGATTTGTTTCTGATATTTAATAATCTAGTGATTGAATACTGAAGAGGGCTGAACAATAGAAAAAGATAGATGGGTCAATCAGAACTTCCAAATACTGAAGAATGGAATGGTCTTCCCTTTGATCGAGCCAGGTAAGTGCTAGGGAATGCTGACCATTCCAAGCAAAGGATAAAAGCTCTATGTGTTAGCACCCTCTGCTGACTAACATGTAAAGCAAAAGAGCAGTAAACTATACTTATTAGCTTACTAGACGCCTGGTGCACGAATTTATGAATGGCAGGGGTCCCTCCACCTGGCTGATCATGGTGGTCTCACACAGTCCCGATCTTCTCACCCAGTCCCAATTGGGGCTGGGGAGGGATCACAGGAGGGCTCCAGGGCAAGTCTGGTCCCGTCTTGCCTGGTCCTGATGGGCCCCACCCCAGCAGCAAGCTAACCTACTGGTTGGAACATCTGCCCCCGGGTGGTCAGTGCAAGTCATAGCGACCAGTCAGTTGACTGCTCGGTCAGACACTTAGCATATTAGGCCTTTATATATATAGGTTGTAACTCACAGCACAGAATGTTCAGCATGTACTTTCCCCTGCCCCTGGTCTTGGAGACCGCATGTCCTTTAAAGGCTCTGCTCACCAAATTCAGCTGCCACATGAAGTAAATTGCATTGTGTGCGTGGAAACCCTTTGCAGGCTCCATTGATGTGTCTTTACTTCGTTGCAGTTCCAATTACTCCAATATAAAGAGAGACACCCTCATTATCAGGTAACACCATCATGGTAAGACCCCTGCTCAGCCTACTGCAGTGGTTTTTAAATAGGCCATGGGTCGCCCAGATGGTTTGGTAGAGTAGGTAGAGCCACAGCCTGCTAACTAAAGGGTCCTGGGTTTGATTCCAGTCAAGGGCACATTCCTGGGTTTTGGGCTTAATCCCCAGTATGGAGCACGTGAAGGAGGCGATCGATTCTCTCTCATCATTGATGTTTCTCTCTCTCTCTCCCTCTGCCTTTCTCTCTGAAATCAATAAAAATATATTAACAAAAATAATAAATAGGCCATTAGTCAAATATTGCTGCTCTCCATCCAGTCCCCTCACACCCTCTTTTGTCTTTGACCCTCCCCACACACACACTCTTCTGGGGTCTGTAAAATGGGGTCAGGATTTCTACTTCAACCAAGGGCAAAGCTTCCACATGGCCCTCCTTCCCCGCCTGTCTCTGTCCCCAGTCCTGTGGGGTTTCTCCCTCCCTCCCCTCCATCTAATTTGGTGGGCCCTGCTCTGCCCCCTCCTCATGTGACCTCCTGTCTGCAGCCTCCCACTTTCTCCTCTGGGGGCGGAGCTCTCCAAAAGCTGTGTGGGAATGGAGGGGGGCTGTGCAGAGTGGGATGGGGCAGGCAAGGCAGTGCAGGGTGTGCAGTCGTGGTGAGCTCTGTGGGGCAAGCCCAAGCTTTGGAGAAGAGCTGGGGTGACAAGTCACCAGGAGGAGGAGGGAGGGATGTGGACATTGTCCCGTGGGAGAGGCACTGGGTTCCTTGGCTGTCCCCACCAAGCAGCTTTTCTAGGCCCCTGCACAGCTATCACCCTCCACCCCTTGCTGCCTCCGCTTCATGTTTTGGACTCAGTTTCTTTGACTCAGCCCCACCCCTCTCTCTGTTGCATTCCAGGAGCCTGAAGCTGCACCTTGGCTTTGGGCAGGTATGCCTGGCCTGCCCCCTGTAATGGTGCTACCCACTCTCCTGGAGTAGTTAGTGAAACTTAACAAATAAAAATAAGCACCTCTGAAGATTATAAATTGTGCACTGAGAAAGCCACAAGCTGCGGAGGGCTGCATAGTCCAGGCTCTCAGCATAGAAGCCTTCTCAGCCACCCAGTCCCTCCTGGTACCGCCCCCACCTGCCTCTGCCCAGGGCTCAAGCCAAACCCTGGGAACTTCCTGACAGCTCTCACCTCACATCTCACTTTCCAGTCCAGCCCACCAGTGCCCACAGCAAGCTAACCTACTGGTCTGAGCATCTGCCCCCTGGTGGTCAGTGCACGTCATAGCGACTGGTCGAGTGGTTGAACTCACAGTGGAACTCCAGTAGAGGGGATAATTTGCATATTAGGCTTTTATTATATAAGACTAGAGGCCCGGTGCACAAAAAT